GTTTTTCAGACTGTTGGCAAGGCCAGTTGTCCTGTGTCATAGGATGAAAATACTATGACGATATAAGAATAACATACTACTCCCTTGAGCTTATTAGCATTTATTATTTGCATTCTCGCACTGACACGAGTACACGCAGAACTTAAGACAGCCGTACGGTCACAATCCGAGAACGAACTCAATCGACAAACAAGAACCACCAGACTGAACAACGCCGACAGAGGTTCAACCTCTTTCCTTCCTACATAGAGAATCGACTCGAAACACAAGCAGTTAAACTGTCCGCCAAACATCCTCCAAGTGACTGAGGCCTACCAGACTCCGATGATAAGGTAGTTTCAAGACGACTGGAAGTGGATTTGGGTACAGTGACTGACAAAGATAGACAGTACTCCTACGCGTGCCACATAAAAACTGATCCCCGAACAATGTACCAAGTTTTCAAAAAATAATTGGGGACTCGGATGTTGTCTGCGTGCGAGATCCAGAAAGACCATATCGAGGAGCCGATGAGTAAACTCTGTAAACCACATAAGCCACATTCATCTCGCCCGAGGGAGTCTCAAGTTTTCAGAATTTGCGTATACTTAGCTTGCCCTAATGTTTTTTCTCTTATGTCAAATATGTGTCTTTTTTCTTCATAAAAGCTTGTCTCTCCCTAGCAAATTATTAGATTTGTACACATTACTAACGTTTCGCGTACTCATATCTTGGTATTGTGCCGTGTTGTAATGGCAATGACACCTTTAGTTAGTGAAAAAATGGTATTTTTGAAATAACGCTACATGTACGAAAGTTAATACTGGTAGATTCTGGTTTTTTTGGAGACACTAGAAAACCCGCATGGGCGGAGGGAACCTTGCATTCGGACCTTTCGGGCATTGTTCATGAGCCGGACTGTGATGGAATTTTGCAATGAGCTACTACTGTCTGGAAGATAGAGGGGTTGATGAAAAGCAAGCTGGTGACTGACACCTCATTCTTCAATTGTGAACATGGTTATTCCTCAGTTGGCCTGTGATGTGGTTCCTCCAACTCTTCTTTATGCCTTTTAGAAACTCAAAGATAACCAGGAAGGAGGATATGTCCCAAAACTTTGTTGTACCATATCCCCACGAGATCCCTTAACAGCTAACTACCTCTAAACTTAGATCATGTTTCCGTTGAGTGCTAGGGACGCAAGACCAATAATAATTCTTCATTTTAGCCCGTTTGGGGCTAGTACTATGCCAGTGGGCAGCGACGGCTTGGGTTAGATATGTTTGATAGGCAGAAGTACTTTCAAGGCACCTATCTCACCCATTGTCTCCTTCCACATAGTCTTGCGCTAACGTTAAGACTAGACCAAGGCTACTGGAGGTGGATGTGGGTACCTTAGATACTCATAACTAATAAACACCCCGCAATGGCAGCGGTCTTCAAGAAATAAGAAAAGATGAGGAGTGGGTCGCAGTAACGTGATCGAACAGACTGCACCCAGGCTTCATTCAGCCTTCTGTTTGTATTGTTTTTGGCCTGGACAATTGTCGTACCGGCTACAAAGTTGAATTTGCAACTAGTTTTTAAGGGGTGGACAGTCATCTGAGATAATATTTGCACCCATCGTAACGCCAGCTAATGAGTGTGTATGCCCGATCCGAGCAAACGTCCAGTAATTACAAGGACAGTTTAGGTATCGAATGCGATACACTACACCAGACTGCTTCTAGACCTGTAATCAGTCCGTGACCTTGACACGCCTGGCAACGCTATATCTGAGGACAGCTATGAGCTCGATTGCTGTTATTGTTTCCTAATGTATGAAACGAAACGGGCCATAAGTTCAAATTCGCAACTATCAGTACACGCGCCCGGGCCGGAAACAGGACAAGCCGAGAATTGATTGAAACCTGATCCATGGATTGGATTTCAATCAATCGTTGTATCGATTTGGCGCCGGCATACAGAGCCCCGTCCAGTCAACTCTAGACGTGCGTCACTGATAGGGAATTGATTAACACTGCATATAATTGTCGCTTATTTTCTTGCTGCTACTCTCTTTGACGAAGAACTTCTGTACGAGTTTGAAAGCTCAGAACACATTTTCCCTTAGTAGATAGGCGTACACGGATCAGATACAGGGCACACCTACCCTGGTTTTGGTGTCCAGTGTGTTCGGGATCCCCCGAACCTTGCCAAATGGCTAATTATAATGGAAATCACTAAGTTTCATTAACATTTTTGCTATCTTTAGGACATTTTACCGTAACACAGAGAATTCAGAATGACCATTTCTGCCTCATTAGGCGTCGGCAGCTGGATATACTCTACTAAAGTGTAGCAGCGGAAATTGCTGCCACCCTCGAGTTTCCAACCTGCGTCTCTCTGGTCAGAGGCAAACGCCCCAACCATCGAGCTATCAGGCCCGACGTCTTGATTGTTTTTGATCGGGACTGCACATTAGTAGATAGCCACACACCGATCAGATGCAGGGCAAACCCGCCCTGCTTTTGATGTCCAGCGTCCAGTGTTCTCCGTCTTACGGGAAAATGTTCTAAAAATAACAGTTTCTTTTGCATGGATGCAGTCTAAAAATTGTAAACATTTGGCTGCATGGACGAATCCACACACACGGATGTGTTTTGGGAGTGCCTTCATTCCAATGATGCATCGGTCTCACGGAAAAGCACGTGTACGTGGCCTCTACCGCCATGAACATACGCTCGACCGCGTTCCGTGCATTGACGGTGGCCACTGAACTCTCGTCCGATCTGATTGGTCCGTGTCTACGAGAAGTCGCTCGACTCCTCTTCAAATGGATTGGACCGAAAATAACAAATCTGCGCGGGATGTGATAAACGCACCTGGTGAGAGGACTTTCTGATACATTTTCCTCGTGGTCGATCGAGTTCTCGTCCTCTTTCGTGTTGGTGCTTTGGGGAGCAACAGTCGGGCAAGCCTACGGTTTGTGTGAATTAAATTACCAGGCGGGGTCATGACAAGGTGTCCTGTGGGTTACGCTTGATCAACCCAGTTAATAAGATCGGCCGGCGGTCGATTGGAATAGAGACTGCTGAAAAGGACTAACCTCGATGTTTCTTTTGATGAAATTGGACTCCACCTTGACTGGTTTGTTGGGCTCAACGAGCCAGAAGTAGATGCGATTGTCCAGTTCATCTTCCGAAGCCGAATCAACGGAGTTATTCGCGTCTTGGCAACGGCGGCGGCGGTGGTGGTAGTCTGCCGTTCTTTTACCTACAAATGTGAACAGTAATATATTGCCTAAACTGAAGAAAATGTATGTTTTGGGCAAGCAAAAACGCTGCGCTCTCTAGATGGAAGACCAAATACCGCATCTAATCAGTTCGCAAAAGGAAAAGAAATCATCAGTCTCTAAACAAAGACCATTCTG